GCGTGGCTCCAGGGGTTTATGCAGCTGCCAGAAGAATAGTCAGTAGCTGCTCAACCTGTCAGAAGTTCTCATGCACCAAGCCAAATGAGGAATTAGGGGGACAACCATGGGCTTACTTCCCTTTTCAACGATTACATGCTATACATCTATACTGATATGCTGCCAGTCTGTGATTACAAACACTTATTAGTGGTAGTGGACCAATTATCAGGATGGGTAGAAGCTTTTCCAACAAGAAAAGTAGATACAGGATGGGTGTTAAAAGCTCTACTAAAAGAAATTATACCGAGATATGGAGTGCCAGATTCAATCGAATCAGACAGAGGCCCTCATTTTATGGCAGGAATAATCAATCAGTCGTATAAGTCTTTAGGAACAGAGAGAAAATTACACGCTCGCTATCATCCCCAATCCTCGGGACAGGCAGAAAGGATGAATAGGACTTTGAAAGAGGAATTAGCAAAAACCTGTGTACATAAGGGGCTAAAATGGCCAGAAGCCCGAAACTGAGCTCTGTGGGATATTTGGAATAATCTGAAACAGCCCATAGGGTTAACACCCGCAGAAATTCTTTTAACTATACCAGGAACTTATATCCCAGCTAAGACCAGCCTATTGGATGGAGATGAATGATAACTCAGTATGTACTGGGTATGCAAAAAAGATTTGAAGCCACTTGGAAGCAAGCCCAACGGTACCAACCCACTCCCCCTGAAATCCAGGTACATGATATACGGGCCAGGGATGAAGTTCTGATTAAGGTGTACTCCAGAAAATCAAAACCTGAACCTAAAGAGGAAGGTCCTTATACTGTGCTGTTATGCTTTTATTTCGCTGTTAAAGTTGCAGGTAAAGAAAGCTGGATACACCATTCGTATGTCAGGCAGGTCGTGAACAACCATCTACTAGATAAATAATCCATCCCGTGAGGTGGCTGTGCATACTGCTTATGTGCTGATGATGTTGCTTACCTTGACCCATTGTGGAGATTCAACAAATTGGCCATGGTCTCATGCTCATACTAAATATACGGGGAATATGGGATTAGATTCCAGTGTAAGCCAACAAGTCAATAAAGGCCTAAACCTGTCAGCTGTGGTTATGCATGGAGCAGAGGTTTACTCAGAAAACAAATGGAGCTGGGATAGTACAAACAGACTTCCCCAACGGTTAGGGAAAGTCAGACAGGAGATCAAAATAGGGTGCTGGGTAATAAATGGATCTACACATGGATAGGTAACTCAGATTTCAACAACCAAAGTACAGATAAACACTGAACAGAAAAAGAACTGTGCCACCGAAAAATTAAGATTGTTGACACAATTTTACTCTAGTCCAACCAGTTTTTGTAGTTTGCCTCTGGGCACACAATAGCATAGGGCTAACATTTAAATTCAAACTAGGCATTACTGAACCTAGTACAACAACAACAGCAGTAACCCCAGCTGCAACTTTTCCTCCCAAAACAGGTATTCCAATTACCCTGTCAGATAAGAGGACACTGTCCCTCCTCATTCCTGAAATTGGCCCCTATGCAATTAAAAATGTGGGCCAACAACAAGTGTTATTCAATCAATCATGGTCTCTTAAACAAGTAGAACTAGTAATGCAAATTAATATCTCCACAATTAAACCAACTTGCTCATCGTTTCTAAGTACCTCCTGCATGGGATGGTCAGCATGGTTGCATGAGCAAATCTTCACCTCTCCAAAACGAACAAGGAGAGATGTGACCAATATCATAGGAACAGGACTGGGAATCTTAATAATATAGGTGTCAAAGTGCTTGTAAACTAAGCGCAACAATGAGTGAGTTGAACAAATTAAAACATCCATTACTATCTTCTCTACTAGCATTGGGAACTAACCAAGGGCTCTTATCTGATATATTGCTGCAATGGGAGAAAATTAATGAAAAAGATCACCAATTGTAGATGCACTCAGTATAATATAGGACAACATTTCCCTAGCCCTCAGTTGTATTCAGGCTCAATTATGGATGCAGGCTATGGTAGCAGCAATTATAAGGGAGGGTGAAGAGGGCACCCTAGCCATTGAAATCTGACAGATAATTTGGAATAATGTGACAAAATTTGAAAAAGAGAGTTGTACCATCTGTCATATCATCATTTAATTAAATAATTAATTTTAGTGTTATACGCGCGTGAAACTCTACTCCTCGGTAACCTAATGTCAAACTGTTTCCACTACAAGGTCCATGCCTTTCTTGTACCAGGGAGACCAGAAATCCCAGTTTAGTATCATCAGTAAACTTGCTGAGGTTGCACTCTGTCCCATCTGCCAGGATGTTAATGATGTTGTTAAGCAGTACTGGTCCCTCTATGGGCCCCTGAGAGACTTCACTAATGAGTGGCCTCTAGCTGGACTTTATACCACTGACCACAACCCTCTAAGCCTGGCACTTCAGCCAGTTTTCACAGAATCACAGAATCACAGAATCACAGAATAGCCAAGGTTGGATCAGACCTCTGGAGATCATCTAATCCAACCCCCCTGCTCATGCAGAGTCATCTAGAGCACGTTACACAGGATTGTGTCCAGACGGGTTTTGAATATCTCCAGGGAAGGAGACTCCACTACCTCTCTGGGCAACCTGTTCCAGTGCTCTGTCACCCTCACAGCAGACAAGTTTTTCCACATGTTCAGACAGAACTTCCTGTGTTTCAGTTTCTGCCCGTTGCCTCTTGTCCTGTCACTGGGCACCACGGAGAAGAGACTGGCCTCGTCCTCTCGACAACCCCCCCTTCGGATACATTGATGAGATCACCTCTCAGCCTTCTCTTCTCCAGGCTCAACAGGCCCAGCTCCCTCAGCCTTTCCTCATAGGACAGATGCTCCAGTCCCCTCATCATCTTTGTAGCCCTCCGCTGGACTCTCTCCAGGAGCTCCATGTCTCTCTTGTCCTGGGGAGCCCAGAACTGGACACAGTACTCTAGATGTGGCCTCCCCAGGGCTGAGTAGAGGCGCAGGATCACTTCCCTCGACCTGCTGGCAACACTCTTCTTAAGGAAGCCCAGGATATCATTGGCCTTCTTGGCCACAAGGGCACCCTGCTGCCTCATGATTAACTTGTTGTCCACCAGCACTCCCAGGTCCTTCTCCACAGAGCTGCTTTCCAGCAGGCCAACCCCCAGCCTGTCCTGCTGCATGGGGTTATTCCTGCCTAGGTGCAGGACCCTGCACTTGCCTTTGTTGAACTTCATGCATATCTGTATGCAGATAGCTATATTTAGGCTCCTGAAACCATGCTTGATGTCTTGAAGTTAATTTCTGCCTCCTCTGCAGCCTTTTTTTCTTTTTTTTAACTCCACAGAGGAGACAAAATTCAAAGGTTAGCATATGTGACCAAAACACAGTTTCCCCTGAGCGAGGCACTGACGATGCCGTGGAGCTCACGTTATCCCCAAGGATATCAAATTCAGGCTGTTGCTAGCTGCTGTGGGTTAAAAACAAGAAGATCCAGGATTTTTAAATAGGTTAGTAGAAAGCAGCTTCAATCAGTAGAAGCGACCTCTTTCCCCTCTAGTTTAGGCACCCAGCTCACCAAAAAAACCTTTCACATCAGTGTGAATTCCAGCTTTGCTTAATTTGAAGTACATCAATTCCCTCAAAGCTGAAAAGACCAAAAAGGTGAATAAGCAGCATTTTCTTCTTGTATCTTATCAGCTCAAGTGTCGCATTCACAGAATGTCAATTCAACTGATTAACAGCTTTCTTTTGTTACTTCAAATGCTATGGAAATGTAGCTCAGAAAAACTCTCTCCTTCCTCTCCTCTCTTCTCCTTTCCTTTCCTCTCCACTCTGCTCCACTCTGCTCCTCTACATCCTGTATGTTCTTTCTGAAGTAAAATACATAGTTTTCTATCTAGCCAGATTCAGCTTTGAAGAGTTCTTTAGATATTAAAATTAAAAACAAGATATAAGGGATTATTTGAATTCAGTGGACATCTCTGGATAAGGTAACCATTAGATAACAACAGAGAGTGGTGATGATGACTAGAGCTTAATAGTAATGTTACCTCACATGATTTCCTAATGTGTTTGGATTATATAGACTGCCTTTGTATGATTTTGTTTTTATGTAATGATTATCTTCAACTTACTGTAATGACAATAGTCTTAAAGATTATTTATTTGAAGAGTGACTCACACATAACAGCTTTGAAAAATAGGGATGAGCTTGCATTTAAGAGCTCTTTAACCTGTCACTGCTGTCATGATTTTTGATTTTCATAAGCAATATGACCAGAAATGACCAGCACAGCAAATACCAGTTATATCCTATCAGTAATTCTTCAATTGGATCTGTATTTTGAAAATATTAGTAACTTTTTTTGGCAAGAAAATTCTTTCAGGACCAGGATACACTGTTCCAGAGAAAATCCAAAACTAACGCTGATATTAGAAGCCTCTTTTTCTTTGAACTAAAACATGTTAATTATCCTTATTTAAATAGGCATGTGTGTACATGTGTGTGTGTGTGTGTGTGTATACATATATGTATATATGTATATATATGAAGACTGTTAGGAGTGAGTTTGATTTGCTTAAAACCAAATTCATATAATTCTAATATTTAATATTTATTAATTGACATATCTGGACCTTTATTAATTAATAATCAGATTTTTTATTTAAATATGGAAGCAAATATTATAGTTCACTAATAGAACTATAAATAAACCCGTGGAGCAACTAGGCAAGGATTACTGTAATGACAGTCCATCACAAACTATCCTATTAATATTCTGTATTTGTTTTTCTCAGATTCCATCACCATACAAATGGCAACAAACTAAGCACGCTAAGAACATTTAGGGTTATTTTTGACAGTGGAGGGACTGCCATGGTAAGACTTTTTAATTGATGAATGCTTATTATTGAAACCACCTCATGTATTGCCCTAGAACGCTGATGTTTTCAACAGCAAAATAGAATCCTTATGATTTCTCCATGGCAACTCTAGCAAAGTCTGCTCCATGTATTACTATCAGGTAATGTAAACAGAAGATGAATACAAGCATGAACTGTAAGGGAAAAACAAAAAAATCCCCAAATCTACAACCTTCTGGTCTCTGCCCATTACAGCTTCTCTCAGCAATGTAATTTAAATAAATTTTCCAAAACAAATAAACATGTAACTTTTGATGTGCAATCTCAGAGCTACTTGATATGAGATACTTGAAAAGGAGATTGTTGTGACCTTTGGCTCTTCCAAACAGAATACATTTTAGAGCATCTCTGCTTGTTTGGTACCAAATCACAAGTATTAAATTACATTAGACTACTTGAAAATTTCCCTCAAAACTGCAGCCAATGAAAAAAATATATACTTTTATATTTTATTTCTGGAAAATATCTCGCTAAACTCAACATTTGGGTTTCATTCCACTTCAGTATTGATTTTTTTTGCACAACAAAGGAAGGAAAAAGGTAGAAGCATGAGAAGAAAAGTCTGTTTCGTCAGTTACTCCCTTTCTAGCTCTTAGACAGGGTTTTTTTTGAGGGAGGGATCTATGTGAATTTGAGCTATAGAATTATCTTTGGGCATAAAATTTAAGCACGTACCATTTTCAGTTAATTTTCCTTCAAAAATGTTACTGGTTCAGTTGTTCTTTTTCTTTTGTTTTATGGCATTTTTTGACTAAAGGGTTATCCTTTTGATGCTATTTGGGGATACTTTGTATTTGCATTTCATAATTTTGCATCCAAAAGGGTTTAAATTTGTCATTCCTTTAATAAATGGGCATGTTAATTGAAACACAGCTAACCTTACTAAGTTTTCACTTTTTAATATGCTGCTAAATCAGAAGGCCTTTGGGATCTAGTGTGTTTTTCTCTTCCCATAATTCATTAAAGAAATAGCCAATGCTGGCTTGCTGAGATGTAAATATTAAATCTCTCAGATTATGAAGTTACCTCAGAGGTATCCTAGAACAGACATTGCTTTGCAGTGCCTGTGGCGACAATGATATGAAAGACACCTGTCCCAAGGAGTAATGCCTGGTCCTTCAGCTGTCTGGTACAGAGAAACTCGTATCCACACAGTTCAGGGTTGGTGCCCGCTGGACTGGGACTGATTATCTACGTATTGCACAGCCTTCACTCTCTTCTGTGCTGTGATCTTGGGGTCCTAAAACCAACTAACAAACAAAGAAACGAAGCAGCTCTGCTTTTTTAGTTTCTAAGTGCTTTAAATAACGAAAGAGCTGTGTGGCTATCACAAAATAGGTGTTTTTATAATATAAAATCATAGGTTTGCGTTGCTTTCCATAATGCCTGGTAGAAGCGGTACAAAACTACATGGTGGTTTTGAGGCTGTCAGGCCAGCTGGAATAGTGTTGAAAAAGTTTGTCATGTTGAAGGAATTAGTCTCAGTATAGTGTCATCCATGAAGCCTACAGAGAGTGATCCCTGGAGTGAAATATTCTTTATTTCCTCCTCTGAGGGAATAAATTTGCTAAACTCAAGAGCATGGATGAATTAATGTACATGCAATATTGGCAGGGGATCAGGAACAAGGAGTGAACTAGGAAACTAAAGTATTTAACACTGTAAATATACCCTGTCTTAGGTGTACAAAACAGTATTGTCCAGCCTTGATATTGTCAGTGGAAAAAGATGGATTACCCTGAGGGAGATGCAGAATCCAGATGAGCTGTGTCAGCTGTCTGTGGCAGGTGGTAAAAATTACCACTCCCCTCCCCCTTGTTTTTCCCTTCAGACTGATCTGAATAGCATCCTTCACTGTATTTCCATTTCCCTATCCCCACTAGGACAGGGTTTCTGGCAACAGGACTCTGGTAACTGAATTCATCATCCTGGGATTTCCCCATGTCAGGGAAGTCGAACTGCTTCTCTTTGCCATCTTCATGCTGATGTATGTGCTGACCTTCACCGAGAATATGGCCATCATCCTGGTCATTGGTATGGACTACCACCTTCATACTCCGATGTATTTTTTTGTAAGCAACCTCTCCTTCCTGGAGATTGGCTACACAACTGTGACAGTGCCAAAGATGCTGGCCAACATTGCCATTCAGTCACAGACCATCTCTGTCACTGGCTGTTTCACACAGATGTACATCTTCTTCTTCCTTGGCTCAGCTGAGTGCTTACTGCTGACTGCCATGGCCTATGACCGCTATGTGGCCATTTGCAATCCACTGCATTATACCACCATTATGGATCGGAAAGCTTGTTTACGGCTTGCTCTGGGGTCTTGGTTGGGTGGCTTCCTTGCCCCTGCTCTTCCCACCGCCTTCATCTTCCGCCTGCCCTTCTGTGGTTCCAACATCATCAACCACTTCTTCTGTGACTCACCACCTCTGCTGGCGCTCTCATGCCAGGACATCTTTGAAATCGAGGTCATCAACTTTGTGGTGGGCACAATAGTACTTTTGAGCTCCTTCATCCTCACCATGGTCTCCTACACCTTCATTGTGGCCACCATCTTGAGCATACCCACAGCTGAAGGACGCAGCAAAGCCTTCTCTACCTGTGCCTCTCATCTGACCATTGTCACCATCTTCTATGGGACCACCATCTTCATGTACATCCGCATCAAGACCATCCAGGCTTTTGATTTCAACAAGGTTGTCTCTGTCTTTTACTCTGTGGTTACTCCAGTCCTGAACCCTGTCATCTATAGCCTAAGGAACAACGATATCAAGCAAGGCATGAGGAAAGTACTTCTGAGGCAAAAGGACACTTTGTCCAAGTAAGATTGGCTCAAGGGGCAGGAGGGAAAGTGGGAGAAACAAGGAGCTAACTTGGAAAGCCTTTTTTTCTCCTCCAGAACTTTCAACCACATCAATGAGGCAGCAAAACCTCTGTCTGCGAGGCTCCCTCAGGAACTAATACAAACAGAATCTAAAATTTCATTTCAGTTTCTTTGCCCTTCAGAGGAGAGATTCATCTCACCTCAGTTTAATCATCTAGAAGTCAGTTGTCTAATTCTAGGCTAGTCACCTGGGTTCCCACCTGTATCAATGAAGATAGGCTGGACCTTGACAGAGCAGTTTATCACATCTTAAGACTGGTGTCACTCTTCAAATGTTTCTGTTGCTGTTCGTTGACTAAATGACTAATTTAGACAGCATGCATAAGTACTGAATATACAAAATTAAGAAAGATGAATCTTTACCCAGATGTCTTATGCCTTTTAGCGCTACTAAAATCAAATCAAACTTTGGAGACCCAGGCAATCCTACAAATCATTTTTGGGACAGTGAACCCAAACCACAGTTTCCTTCTGTGCATGCATCACGCTCTGCACAGGGTGAGCTATATGTCCCTTGTGGCATATGGTCCCTGTGTACTAGAAATCTCTGAAGTCAAATCAAGAGTGCTTAATCCAACTCCCTCCATCAAATGAAAAGTGAAAAGAGAAGTTACCATTTCTAACAAGCATTAACCTCAGTCACATCTCAATTAAGGCAGATAAATTATGCCAAAGATGGATCTATTTCTGTTTGCTGGCTACAAAGGAAACCTATAGTGTCTAGTCCAATTGTGAATGTCTGTACGGTAGATGCCTTAAATTAGTTGGGACAAAACTCATTCTGATTCCTAACTTGAGAGTCCCAATCAAATGCCTAGTCTTGAGCAGAAAAATGTCTAAGTCTAAAATCTTTCAGTTCCTATTGAAATGGGAAGGCCAATGGGCATTAGACATTTATTACTGTTTTCTGTATCTATATATTAAAGCATAGATACATCTTTATGATTTATTTAAGGTGCATCTAATGAAATCAGCATCGGTTGTGCACAAGAGAAATAAGAAAAAATAAGAATTTAAAAGCATTATTTGCACCACAAAAATCACACACTGAGAATTAAATATGAGGCATCTACTGTTCCTTAGAAGGCTCAAGATCCTCTCCTACTCAGAAACCTCTTCTTTGTGAGCGTTCTGGTATGGACACAAGCATAAACGCTCATTTTCCAAGATGAGCTTTGGTTAGCTTTTCAGAACAATTCAAAAAAATCAGTCTGTATGCCCTGAGAACTGCTCTGGTCCTGTTTATATTCAGCCCTTCCTGCAAAGAATCTTAGGGTGAGGACAATTTTAGATTTATACATCTAAGTAGGTAGCACAATTTCCCTTTTTTAATCTCTAATAGGTAATTTTCACCTCAGAAGTAGCTGTTTTCATCAATTAAAGAAGGCATTTAGATGGGTTTTATAGTACAGATTTCTAAATGTGAATGAGCTGATCCCCTTGTGTCTCTTCTATAAAGCAACTCTGTTTCTTTTTTTCACTTAAGTAAAAAATCAAGCTATTTCTCATCATAATTTCAGGAAGCAAGATGAATAATTTGAGAAAGGCCAAATAATGGAAACATGTAGACTAAAAACAAAAATGTTATTGCATAGACTAAACAATTCTTTTGCTCCACATATATATTTAAATGATGCATAGATAATATTTGAAATGCTGTACGTGTAAGAAGTTACATGCATATGTAGCGCTTTTCAGTAATAATATATGTTTGCATGCGAGCACACCTCCTTTTTAGATCGCTATACTACTGCAATTACAGCTAAAAGTTTTGTGCAGATAAATCTATAAATATATAACAATATATAAAATATATAGAAAAAATAAGAATAGCTGCAAAGCAGTCAGAAATGGTAAAAATCATTAAAAAATTGTTTTTCAGCTGATTCTTCACTTTTTTAACCTTTTTCAGTTTCCAACCCATTTTCAGTTAGAGCTAATATAATTGATGGTAATTATTTTTATTTTTTTGATTGCATTTTCTTGTGACCTACTTAGTAAAGTAGAACATATTACTGGAAATGGATGAAAAAATCTATTTTTGCTATCATTCTGGGGTAATAATATAACTAACCAAATGCTAATTTAGAAACAAACAACATGCAAGCAATATTTCTTTAATATTTAGGGGTAAAAGTCACATACAATAAGAATGAAAGATATTCTAAACGTTTAGCTGTAAAAACACAAATTACGACCCAGGAAATATTACTGAACATGAACGTACATAACACTGAGGTATGTTAGACTTTTAATCAGCAATAGTGACATCAGAAAGTAGGTCTGCAGAACAAAGAATATATACTTTTTCTCTATAAAAGAGCAATACAGCTAGATAGGAAAAAAAGAGAGTCATTGGTACACTGACTGCTGTCCCTTCCTCCCTTCCCCTTCCTCCTCCCCCCCTCCCCCACTCTTTTACTGGGTACTAGTGCATGTAGTACTTTTCATCTCTTGGTGTTCATCTTTGCTGTGCTAATTTCCCACAATAACCAGCCATGATGATTCCTTTTAAAAAAAAAACACTAGTACTTTCTATTTTTTTTTGTTCCTTACTGAAGTTTTTTTTACTCTTTTAATGAATGCTTTCTTAATTTAGATTATGCCGTTAGCTTTTTAAGGAACGGCCCAAACAGAGCCTGAAAAATCGACACTTAAGTACAGATCATTTGAAACTTAAATGACAGAGGCTGAGCACAAAAGCTGTGCCCTTAATTATGACAAAACGAAACCAGATATATGAATATATGTATATGCACATGCACATCTATGCTTGTGTCACTACACATAGCAGAGAGTCCGATGATAAAACAATGGAATAAAAAAGCAACCACATGGAGAGAAACACGTTCTTTACATCTCTCCACAAACTAATTATGGAAAACAAGTCAGATAAACTGCATTCAATATGTAAATTTTTTATTTCCTTTGACTGTAGATCATGTCTTGATGGCTAGCTCAGCTGCAGAAGTATACATTGTCTGCAGTTGAATCCCATCTTCCATGTCTAAGGACTGTAGTCAAAATGGAAGCCTATTTGTCAGCCATTTGCTATGGCCGATCTTCAGAGGATGATTTATCCCACACAAAATGAGTATCTAAAGCAGGTGGAAAGAGTAAGCCTCTGGAGAGGCTTCAAGCTCGCTGTTGAGTTAGAGGGAGAATAGACATGTAGTTTAGACTCAGATATCGGTCTTAATTATCTTGATTAATACAGAGGAATTCAAACCTTGGTTACTGAACACATGCTGGAATTGTGTCACCATTACATTTTTCATGATTTTGGTGAACAGCCTTTTGATTTCCTTGTAAGTCTTTCCTTTCAGTGAAAAGAAATGTTGTGTTGACAGGAAGGTAGAACATTTTCCATTCTTTCTCAAAGAGCAAACCTGATCTGCAAAACGGACTCATCCTGAACTGCCCCTCGAGGAATTGCCTTCTCTCCACTTATTTTTAGGAGGAATTTGAAAAACTTGTTTCTTGCTGATAACTTAGCCTTTGCAACTAGCCTTGCTCTAAGGGAGCCAAACGTATCCTTTCCCCTGAGGCAAAGTATTCCAGGGAATTGCTAACGATTCTTTTGTTATTATTCTTACTCTGTTATTTCCTTTATAACCTTAAGCCTACACTTATTTCCCATTTATTTTCTTCTGAAAAATCTTGAACTCTCCTTTCCTGGCTACCCTCAGATCAATATCTTGGGATCACGCCTGATGGACAGATAGGTAGATAGAGCGACTGTCTGATAGACAGACAGACCGACCTTTGGATTTAGACATAAAGGTAGGAATAGATATATAGACCTAGGTGCAGGAAGGAGGAGATTCACTTGATGAAAAAGAAAGAACTTGCCATTTTAGATGCTCTAAAGCATCTTCTCTGGTCTCCGGCTGCCACTTTCCTAGGTATATCGCACAATGTAGCTGATCCTCCCTCAACTCTGTGTATCTTTTGCCTTACCACTCTACGTAAGACAGATGAATAGGTAAGTATGTATGTCAAATATCCACAAAGAGTGACTAAGTCTGGTTGGAAAACAAAACAAACAAAAACACAACAAAACAGTTATCAAAGAAAAGTATGTCCCCTCACCAAAAACTACTTCCGAGCCTAAATTTTCAATCTTTATGGATTTTTCTTTTAGCTAGTTCCAATAGATCCTTGGTGTGAGTTACATTTCACATAAGTTTAGAATTCTACTTTTTTATAAATATATATTTATATCTGAACCAGTCTCCTCAGCTCCCTTTAGTCAATGAAGACAGAGAAGCACTTCTAGAGCACAGTTAATCTCATCCTGAGATAGACCATCACATTTGATCAGAGGTGATACTGTAGTAGTACTTACACTTCTGCACAGACTGTAAGTGCAGCACAGATGGAGCTTTCTCTGCTGAAGATGTCAAAAGTTTGGTGTTTTCATGCCAGCTACATGTATCTTCCAGCAAATTGTGGGGTAGATGTGAAAGTCAGCTTAAGAACGCATACTATGTTGCCTGCCTGTTGCACATAGAAGTCAAAATTTTCAAAACCTCCGATGGAATTTGCATTCTTAATTTCCATTATTGTGCAGAAGGCACGTAAATCATGTATGTAGCCATAAGTATCTCAAGAGCACAGTCATCTCAAAACTTGGGGGGGGATTATTCTTTTCTCAGACATACAGCTTTCCAGTGTTTAAGTCTGAGTTAGGTATGTAGGCTCCCTTTAGATTTATTAGCAAGACGCAGGCAACTACAGAGAATACTTCATCCCTTGCTAAGGTTGATGTTCAAAAGAGGTCGTAGGAATCAATGTTTAAGGTGTTTTTATTTTTCTCTGCTAACTATAGGGAAAGCCTTAAACTTAGTGATTAAATCTTAGTTATCTGCATTTAAGTCCATTTAATGAACTTTTGACTGCTTACCAGACTTCAAGGAGGTCCTTCACTCTTACTTAAGA